CGTGGGGGCTAATCCTGTAGGAATTGTCATTGGTTTCGATTACTGTGATTTTTGTCAAAATATGAGGCAGTGGAACTGGGAGGCAAAGAACTTCTTCCGGCCATGTAAATATATCACTTGGTTAATGCGGTGTCAAAAGTGACACATCAGCTGCGTCTTCTTACCTATTAATATCAGAAACAATTGCTAGGTAGTGATTTTTCTCTACTAAAATAAGAGCAAAATCTCCTTCTTTAACATTCACTTCATTTGGCCTCTGATAGGCCAGACGGTGAACCAGATTGAATAGTTCCGAGGGGAGGGTTATATTCCTGGGAATATTCCTGGAATTTGGGAATATTCCATGGAATATTCCTCGGCCCCAAAGAGGAATATTCCCATATTTAAGAGATATACTCATTTAGTATACTTCAATTTTATGGGGGTATGAGTCACGGCCCCATTTTATTGATAACCCACAACAAAAACCGCACTATGAAAAATTGGTCCAAAGTACTTCTAATATATGCTGCGTATTACCCCTACCTCTCAAGTGTGCTCATGACATGCTATTCCCCCTGTGCTCGGCCCACAACGCTCTCTGCCTGCCGGGAGAGCTAGGACGAGGAACAACTAACTATACTTTTGGAGCGAAATAAGAAGTTGTAGTGTTGTTTGAAGTGAAGTGGGGTGCCTGACCCAAAGGCAACCCATCTTGCGCCCCTGCGTTTGTTAGGCAACCAGGCGGTGTGCTGTGCGCCCAGAGTCCTGTGGGACTATGTCCATCCTGCCTGCGGCTAGACCTTTCTTGCCGCCCGCCCTTTCCCGATCACCGAGGCCGGAGTACCAAGTGATTCGGAGCACGCCCCGCTGTCGGCGGGTTTGCCTACACTCTCCGTCCGTAAGGCGCTTTAGCCTATGCAATCCCGCAACACTGCGGCGCGTGCTCTAAATCACCCGGTACATGTATCGGGTGTAACTGTGAATGCGCAGCAGTATTGCTAGTTTGCCAACCCAATTCGCCGCTGAGGCGCCATAATCCCTGCAGCCCTGGTGGGTATGCAATCCCGCAACACTGCTGCGCATTCACAGTTACACCCGGTACATGACCATGACTAGGCAGCGACATGTCGAATATCTCTCCCTCGCTGACAGCGTAATACTGGCTCGATCGGTCGGAGAGTACGTCGCCAGTGAAAGCGCCTATTTTGAATGTACCCGGGGAGTATGGTTTTACAGGTTTTACATGAATTATGCCTTTTCTGCCTGAAAATTTAATTTTCCCCATATTTTCCCAATTTTC